CCGTGCTCACTCTCCTTCAGCCACACAACTTCCTCACTATTCCTCAGATACAGCAGGGCCTGTGTGCTTTTGTGCTGATCGTCTCTCCAGGAATTGTCTTCCCAGGGACTCTCCCTCACTTTGTCTAGTGCCATCTCGCACAGTGAATTTTTCTTATGTATTTGATTACTGGCTGTCTCTTCATGCAGGTAGGTAAATTTCACACAGCTAGGGTGCACGTGTGTGTGTCCATATGCATGTGTGTATGCACATGTTTTATTCAGTCACTGATCAGTCATCAGTCTGTTTTATTCAGTGCCATCTTTCCAGTCTGAGAACAGTTCCTGATACTAAGTTGGTATTCAATAAATATTAGAGCAAATAACTGTGTTACTTTTGATGAGGTGCCATGGTAGGAAGTAAGTGTATAACTGTATGTAGCAAACATACAACAGTCCCTCCCTTCCATAGATGCCATGGTAGGAAGTAAGTGTGTAACTGTAAGCAGCAAACATACAACAGTCCCTCCCTTCCATAGTCTAGGAATAGCAGTGCTGGTTAAGCAATTACTATATGCCGCAAACCATGTTAATTATGGAAATCAGTCATAGGAGCCAGGTATTGTTGTTTCTATTTTACAAATAGGAATTGAGGCTCAGAGGAGTTAAATAACCTGTCAAAGGTCAAATTGGCCCTGCCAGTTACTATGCCCATATAGTTTCTATTCCAAATCCTGTTCCTCACTACCATGATACATACCACACTCCTATTTCATGGAACTTAATGTACCATACTCTCCAGTGAATTTGTTGTAATTTTCTGTCTTTCAGAGACACAGAAAATCACTGCCTCTAGTGGAGCACTGTCGTCGCAGTATTTTCTATAGGTTCATGGCTACTTGGAGCTTTGATCATGAGACATTAGCAAATGTTCTCCTTAAAAATGTTGATTTCCTGAGAGAGAAACATAAGCACCCCAGCAGGTTCTCAGGCTGCCATCCTTCTCCCACCTTCCTTCCAGACAGGCTCACTTGCATGTGCCCAGTGTGTGCAGGTTCACCAGGAACCAAACCCTGACCTTCCACATGGCCAGCAGCATTGCAGCATGCTGCACTACTGCTGCACCATGGTGGCTAGGCCAGCGAATATTCTCTTAATCAGGGTAATAATATAGCAGATTTAGTCATTTGGCATGAATTCATAATTATTTTTAGATGTTAAAAAATTGTGACTTTGCCAGTAATAGCATCTCACATTCCCCAGAGGAGATGTGTTTGTCATAAATACCATTTCCGTAGAACATTTCAAGGAACTTAAAGTTCTTGGAAAATATTTTTAACAAGCACTCTTTTCTCAAATGTAATGCAATAGCATAAAACTAGAGCATATACACCCTTAGAAATATGTGTATGTGTATTTTACCTTATTAAGAATACTTACATGCATTTCCTTTTTTTCCTTAAAATTCATTAATACTTAAATGTTCCCAATTCCAAAAGAATTTAGATCAGGAATGTGTCCCCTTTTAGGACCTATTTCTTGCTCAGTTAAACTGTTAAATTTAAATAAATATATGTTCCCTTTGTAGCTTGATGATTAAAGAAGCAAAAGCAAATTATTTAGAAAAGTGTCCTGATTCTGATGTAGTGGCTAACTATTCTTTGTTTTTAATGCCCCCTAGTCCCCCACTCCATCACAAGTTATTTTTACTCAGATATTGTAAATAGATACTTTGGAAGATTGGTCTGGTTCCTTTTTCTTAACATTTATTATCTGGTGGGTTATATTTCTTTTATTTTCTTTCTCCTTTAAAAAAAATTAGAGTATATCCTTTTACAGATCTTACTTTGAGCAACCACACACACACACACGTGAACTTTTTAGTCCCTGGTTCCTATGAGTTATTAAAAATTTTGTAAGATTTTCCTTTTATTTGGTTTCTTACATTAGTTAATTGATTCATCAGATTCAATAAAAAAGGTCAGAGCAGGGAGCAGTCACACGCCAGAGTCGATGAGTTCACTGGCTTGGTCCTTGTAGTCTGGCTGTCTACACAGAGGCAGTGGCTAACATGGTATGCTGGAAAACCAGACGTTTCCTAAGTTGTTAGTAGGAAATTCAAACTTAAGAAATTTAGAAACCACAACAACAGAGGCTTATGTTTTACTGTGACTACTGAAGTTACATGGCTCGCCATAGAAGCAGGGTAGATAGGAGGCTGAAGAGTGTAAAAATATGAAACATTGCATGCTTAGAAGACTCCCTTTTAGCTGTAGTGTATCAGTGAGATCAGCAAACAAAAACAAGGGCAGCAGGAAAATGTAATGCTTTTAATAGTGTTTAGAGGTGAGGGCAGTTGGAGCATGAAGGTTGACGTGTGATGGCTTTGTCCTGAGAGAATTTTTGGTCATGAGCCACAGTTTGGAGTTGTTCTATCCTTACCTACTTTTCTTAGTGCCTGAAGATGATTGGTTTATGCTTCTTTTATGATTTCTGGAGAGCTAGAGTTTGGGCTGTAGGTGAAGTTTAATTAGGTGGAATTCTTCTATTCTAGCATCTGTTGGATTAGAAAGGGCCATTTTTCTTGTCTGTGTTTTGCATGTCCTCTGGTATGCATTGCCAAAGTTAAAATTATTTTGGTGATTTGAGCCTTCTTTACTTTTCCCTTGACTGACAGGCTAGAGCTTTGAGGTTACATTTTCCTTTTCTGACACTTCTGAGCACCGAGAAGATGGATGAACAGAGTTTGATCCCATTTCTTCTACTCTAAGTGAGATGGGGGCCAGCAGGTGGCGTAGTGATTACATAGCTGGACTCCCACATGCCAACCACGGTTCGAGTCCCGGATCTGGTGGCTTGAGACTCAGCCGGTCTCATGTGCACACGTGCCCAAAATCCTGAGAGAAGACTGGAGGAGAAGGGATTGTCGTGTGGCCATCTCTCCTGGGGGGGTGATTTCTTGCTTTCTGTCTCTCTGTCTGTTTCTCTCTCTCCAGTGAGTCCACACACCCTATAGTAAAAATCTCTCCGAAAAGAAAACTAAGTAAAATCTATTGTGTTCTAGAACAGCATGGTGGAGGGCAAGTCCATCAAGATACTACAGTGGTCAGCAACAGGTGTGCCAGAGGTGAGAGCAATGATTTTTATACCCCGCTTGTCTTGGCCCTGGTTCTGTATTTATATTTATCTCTGTGAGAAGTGTTCTGTTTATGGCAGAGTTAAAGACTGTAGTGGGCTTGATGTGTATGCTGTTTGAATACTCAGCCATTTTCACCCTGACCATGACATTTGAATCTTGAGAGAGGGTAAACTATTTCAGGTTTCTGGTAGTTGAAAAAAGTGTTTTTGAAAAAGGTACTAATTTCACTCTTCCTCATTTTAAAGTTCACCAATTCATGCTAAAACTAAAGGAAAAGCAAAGCCCAAGGACACTCAGAAAAACCATGTCTGATGGACAGGACATACTGGCCCCAACTCAGTTTCTGACTTACTAGCTGACCTTGCCTCATTTGCCTGTCACCTCAGGCGCAACGGGGGAGGGGGGCAATAAAGTTGCATCTCTTAAGGTTTATAAAGCCATTAGCAGCCTTCAGCTCGACTTTCACAGAATAAAAATCCTCAACAGCCCTTAGAGTCCTTTCCCCCTTTCCTATGTGACACTGGATATAAATTCACGTCCAGAGATTTTATGCCTTGTCAAGAGTCTCAGCGCTTCATGACTATATGGAAAACATTAATTCAAATTTCATGGGATTCTTATTTTTAGTTCTTTATATGGCAAGCATTTGTTGTACTTCAAGGTTGTAACTGTACTGTAAAAGCAAAGAAGTAAATCTTTTTAGTGTTCTGACACTTAAAATGTGCTAAATTGGAAATTCAGTTAAACTGAAAAATTAACACCTGCTAGAAGTATTTAGCCTGTTAGTTTCTGAAAGGGAATCTTTATTGTCTGTTCCTAGGATTTGATCTAAGCCATTTAGCCTAAGTTGTAAGGTTTGTCTCACAAATTTATTTGTGTGCCTGGGTAGAATTTTTACGGTAGGTCAGGGAGATTCCAGGCTAGCTTTTACGCCTTTTCCAGTTATCTGCTCTCTGATCCTTTAACTGGCTAGTGACTTTTTTGCTTCAGATGACTAAGACATCTTTAGGAAAGCTCACACTGGCTTTTCACAGGAGGACAGCTTCTAGCAGGGAAATCAGGATAAAGGATAACCCCTCTTTTAAGAATGACTGGGGTTAGGCACTAGAAACGTGGATTTTCTCCAATAAGCTTAATTCTTTATCCCACTTTATATAGTATATAAAGAAATATAAGACAGGACTGCATCCTACAAAGCAACTCTTCCTTGGCACTGAGGCAGAGTCCCGTGCCTCAGCTTTGACAGGCCCCGACAGTACCAGATTCCAAGGGAGCCCCATCCTTGTGGGGCAGAACAGCATAACTACACAGATCGCTGGCACCGGTCACCGAGCATCTGCCGCAGGTTTAGTGCCGTGCAGCTGCTTTCTCATCACACTCAACTTTCACTTAGGAGCTGACTCACTTAAGATGCTTTTCTCCCTATTGATATCCAGGTTGGTTGGGAAGTCAGATAACAGATTTAAAAATCATATTCGAGTATTCTGATTGTGGCTCAAGGTTTCCTCAGATTATATTTTCATAGTAGATCTCCAAGTAGTAAATCTGCCATCCTTTTTAGACTGCTTCGTTCAGATACCGAATATCTGCAGCTACTGAAAGATCGGAAGGTCTAACGGTATGGATAGCAACTGTGGATACTAAAGACAGTGTGGGAGGAGAGTGGGAAATGGGGGAGGGCGAGAGCAAGGGAATCAAGGGGAAAAAGAAAGAAGCAGAAATTTGAAGGGACATAAACATGGTAAATTATCTGTTGATAATGTGTACGGTAAATTTTTGATTGAACTAATGTACAGTGCATTCAAGATGGGAAAATTCATTTGGTATGTGATATCCAGTGATTGAATGTAAAAAAAAATAATAAAAGAAAATACAAAGAATGTTTCCTTCAGTAGCCTTCATTCACAATCGAAGAGACTTCCATAGTATCTCATTCACTTACATTTCAATTCACATCTTTAATATGAACGTTCCTTAACTTCTCTAACTCTGGCTTATTTCTCTTTTCTGAGTCCTCACTGCTCTTATAGTTTTATGACAGAAATATTTTATGTTGTTTGTACTACTTTTTGTTTTGCATGTTAGTTTTTCTCTTAAACCAACTATAACCTCCTTAAAGGAGTGATAACCACTGTAACTCCCACATCGGTTTGAACTCCATACATACTTCATGACCAAATGATCCAGAGATGAAAAGAATCAGTCTGAGGGCAGTATAACCTTCTCTTAGACCAAATGATATACCTAAATTCTCAGAATTTACTCTAGAATTTGCTTTTAAAAAAAGTAGAGAAGATTAAAGATAAGTAGAGATTTTTTTTTTTTCCCTCTTGTTCTTGTAACTTCTGGAAAGGGAGACCTGTTTGGCAAAATATGGAATTCACTTGAAGACAAACTTAGGTGAAGCTTAGATGTAGGAAACTAGCCAGAGAACCTGAGCTTCTCTGATTTTTTTGCATCTTTGCTCATCCTAATGAGACTATAAAAAGAAATATTATGTGGCATAATATTTGAGGGGAGATGAGTGGAACCCTAAATCACTTGACAAAATTGTTCACACCTTTGTTTGAAAGTCCCGCACAGAGATAGTTGTATAAAACTCAAGAACGATACACACCTCAAACATAATGTGTTTCTTTTAATAATATGTTTATATTGGGGCCAGCAGGTGGAGTGGACAGGACTCCCACATGGCCGACTGTGGCCTAAGTCCCAGATCTGGGGCTTGATAATCACATCGGGCATGCACCCAAAATCCCAAGAGAATTCATGAGAAGGGATTGCAGTGTGGCCATCTCCCCTGGGGGGTGATTTCTCACTTTCCCTCTCTCTGTCTCTGTCCAGCAAGTGCACATGCCCTATGGTGAAAAATATTTTTAAAATATGTTTATATCAATAATAAATATTAAGAGTAGATACCCTTCTCCTTAGCAACAATAGATTCATTTTTATAAAACTCCAGAGTGATTCATGCCTTCTTTCACTCCCAGTGAACAGCCTAACAAGCTAATGCTAAGGGACTTCCATAGTATCTCACTGCATGGCCTTTCATCTTCAGCAAGAAACCAGGAATTTTCTCATGTTGTCTCCAGGCTCCAAGGTCACGCAGCTCCTTCCTTTTTTTCAGATTTAACAGCAGCAGACACTTAAGTCTTGTCAAGCAAATGTGATGTTTTGCATTCCTCTTATGAACTCTTCTTCTCAGAGATTTGTTTTTGTTTTGATTCACTTTTTTTTTTTTTTTAAAGAATTTTAAGAAGAGAGAGAAAAACTTAGCTCACCTTTTAACCTTTTGTTCCAGAGCTGATGAGCCATGAGACATGATAAATCTGGCAGATTTGCTTGTCAGAGCAGCCCATCTCGGAGGGCTGACTTCATCCTTGAAACTGCTCTAGGTACAGAGATTTGGAGCTTTCATAGGCTTGGTGCTACTTAGGTTAATCTCTACTTCTTCTGGATTCTTTTCCTCACCTCATCCCCATTCGCTTTGGCTGATTTGTCTGTCTCTCCGCTCCTTGATCAGAGTTCTCTCAGAGGTTACTGTCCCACTCACTCTTTAGTCTTTACCCAGCACTGAGAGATACTTGGGGTGGATGACATTGCTCCCCTTCTTGAGGTTTGTAGAAAACGGGCGTTGCAGGAGGCTGACTTAATGAATGGATGGCAGAGCCAAAAAGAGTAGCACTCAGATGGATTGACACAGTAGTCCTTTTCTTAGTCTCATCCTTGACAGGACACTATGTGTCCACTCTCATTGCAGTGTCACTGACTAAGTAATCAACTTTGGCAACTGACTGTATCCTGTTGTAGGTTTTAAAAACGCTCCCTATCTTTACTTAATTTCATGTATAGCTGACCTCTCTTAGCCACAGTGCTTTATTAATCCATTAAAAAAGAGCAGGGGTAGGACCATGACTAAAGCAGTTGTGCAAGAGTGACTTAGCTCTTGTGATTGACATGGTGCCAGTGAATGCTGGTAGGTGTAGCTAGGCTGGTGACACAGTCTGGTGTGTGACACACTTAGTTGCTGGGCCTGTCATCCTGCTTTAGCACAGTGCCTGGTTGACACTCAGTAAATGTTTGCTGTTGCTGAGGAGAGTTATAAGCTCCAAGATGGCTTCTCAGGTTGGCAATGGAGTTACTTGACTTTGATATTATGGAAAAATAACTCCACTTCTGTAAAAGCTGGCTGATGCACTGGATTACCCACAGAAATTTAGAACTCAAAGTAATTAGGAAAAGTAATCTGTGGGACTCCAATTACTATAAGGGTATGCTTTTTAGGCCTAACAGTTCCATATTCCAGGCCCTCAGCTGAGGCACAAAGATTGGGGAAATACAGATGAATCCACCCTTCATAAGGATGAAACCACTGACTGCATTGTATTCTTCCTTATTTTGCTTCTAGTCCATTCCATGCCCTGGGGCAGCTCACCTGGTACTCTTTCACCACCTGCATCTCATTATTTTGGGGAGGGAGTCAAAGTGAGGTAAATGGAGGTGGCAGAGAGCTGAGAAGCATCTGACTAAGTCTGCCTACACAACACAGTATAATACAGATTTCTCTGCCTTCCCTTAATCTGAGTCTTGCTTTGTTTTCTGGTTTCTGGGTAAATCAAGTTTATGTAGTTGCTTCAAATAGTGGCAGAGATTTGTTGTGGGCTCCTGAGCAAAATCTTCCAAGGGACTTCAGAAAGTTTATGGAAAAAATAAGGTAGAAATTGATTTCAGTGCAAAAAATGTAAAGTTCATGCATAATTTTTTCCTAAAAATACATTTTCCATGAATTTGAAGACCCTTGGCATAAGAAAGGCCCTCTTTAGCCCACTGTTTCCAGAAATACTCTTTTCTTACCAAATAAAAAGCTTCTGGGTTGTAATTTATTTGCCTGTATGTCTATCAGACACCCTTCCTGTCCCGGTGACACACCTATTAATTGAAGCTAGGTACTTTCCTAGGCATTGGAGATAAAGCCGGTTGTAAAACTG